GACTTCCGGATTGTTCAAGTCCGCGATACGATCCATCCTGTACAGCATGGATCAAAGCAGTGGTGGAACGGCTCGCGGTACAGTGAATCTGGAGATGTAATGGTTTATTCACTCTTAATCTGGTATCCCTGTACTTTGCTCGTAACGTTGTTACGTTAACAATATAGGTCTATTATGTCCCAAACGGCTTGAAAACGTCCGGTCTTCTAACAATGAGGGATCAGGCAACCCAATGCACTGTGCTCCACGTCGTACAATGATTGGGTAACCTACAAACATAAAATGGTTGGCGAAGAAGAAACTACCGCTTCATAAAAAACGAGCAAGGTAGAAACGTTTTGATACTGACCTGTTAGTTTTCTGCTTAGATGGCACTCCATCACCAGGATCCAGGAACTGTGCAGACAAGTGGAAAATGTTGTGAGAGTGGCTTAGACAAGGTCTAGAATTGAATCCGCACGAAGGGAAACCAAAGATAAGCCAAGAGAAGAAGACAGATAAAAAAATTACAGTGATATCCTCGTCTGCGCAAACACTGAGCAAATGCAGTGGCAGAGCCGAGTCCTACGAGGTTTCGTTGCTACACTACAGCAAAAATAGGTTGAAAACGGTGTAATAATGAAACAGAGTAGCTATACAACATATTGAAACAACAGCTGAATCACACCTGGATATTCGTTTTGTACGCGTGAAAGAAAAGCCGTTTAACGATGAGATTGCAGTAGAGAAAGTCTGAAGGGACGAAACGGTGCTATTTGATGTGAATCGAAACAGTAATTTTGAGAAGAATCAGGAGCGAGAAGTAATCTAATACTTACTTCGACGACGGATTCGTACGCCGTAGAGCACGAGCTGATGTCCGATTCGTATACTTTGTTCAAGAAGCTATTGACCGGCTCTGGCTCAATCGGAGTATCAATACCAGATTGAGGAGGATGTGTAAGACTCTTCGCTAGTGAAGAGTTGCCGTCTGTCGGATTGTCGGGTGGGACTTGCAGCGCCAAATCGGCGTACACCGCGGAAGGTCTCGGTTCAAAAATGGTGCTGGCCCGACCATTCAGCGAACTATTACGGATATTGGGATGACGGTAAGGTTCTTGCGGGGATAACGCTGCTGTGGAACATTTTGCACCGGTTGTAGATGGCCTCGCAACGTTATATGTGTGCATCAATGGCACTGATCTGTAACAGAAGACATAATGGATAGTACAACTTAATCCTACGGGAAACTTAGACGAACGAATAACGCTCTACAAGTTAGTCAGAGATTTGTGCAACAATATTAATCAAATAGAAGAGAGCAGAGAAGAATGAAAACATAAACAATAACCGCGAAAACAAAATAAAATTATAACATGTGTAGGAAATGAGGTCGTGATTGCAAAGGAGGCTAAACGGGATGGCGATAAACAAAGGAATCGAAAACATAAATGTTACTGATATCATTTCTTCATCATGTTGACTAGGGTGGGTCTCTTATATATGTGAGGATGCTCCCACAATTGACTAAAGTGAAGATGTGGTCAATGCTGTCTTGAGGTTAACGAAAACCGGCTACCTAGCCACGAATATGAAAAAGGATAGCGGCAAGCAACTTAGAAGAGGTGATTGAGATCATCATACCAAAGAAACAATTGATCATAAAATTTAACTTTGATCATTATGGTAGTCATTTGAGAATGTGATTGAAGTCAGGTGGAGTTGCGGAGTGCTATCAGTTCCGTGGCCGACCACCAGACGGGAAGGAGGTGGTGACACTCCCCAAATCCACCTCACTTCAATCACATAGCTGAGATCACTCTGTTATCTGCAACTTCCGTATATGCTATGGGTGTAAAAAGTGGGTGAGTGTGGGAACGCTCTGGACACATATAAGGCTGGACCAAGTCAAGTACCTTAGGTTCAAATTAAAAGCATGTGTGATACAACTTGGTGGGGGTATGAGGCTATCACCCCTGACCTGTCGACATAAGCCGATTGTGTGGAGAGGCCATGGGTGTGACATCTAATACAGTCCAACCTGCAATGGCAAACAACTGTCTATGGCGACCAGCCAAAGTCATCCGCAAAGTTTTCTCCGGAATGTAATGTCCCTATGCATGAACTTGTCTATGGCGACCACCTATCCGAGATGACCACATTTTGTCAGCCCCTTGAGTGGTCGCCTTAGACAAGTTTGACAGTATAATAGTGAAAGATGCATTACTCACGAGTGTCAAGAGGATTAAGTAACCACTTAGTGCCCTTCTGGACGCACGAGAGTCCATTTGACTTGGAATCTGCTGCACTGCACTCTAAATAGAATCACATCAAAAATCCATACTCTTGAGCATCCAAAGTACCATCGTACATGGCTGATGTTATGGGAAGCCGTGCCTCAAGGAGCCAACTTGATCTACTGCAAAGCTCGTAATTTGCATGGCTGTGGAGGCTAGGTCACATTAAATCGCAGCTAGCTTACAAGTCATTACGGTCTGCTACCGTAAGCTGTGGCCTAGTGGCGTAGGCCGCTGGTACCGAGAGCCAATGTGATCAGTTCCTGACGGATGCGCACCACCGTCGTTTCCAGCAGAGCGCTTTTCTGAACGAATGGAAGTATTTCAGAACTGGATGTTGCTGTGAAGGATCTTCAAGCAATTACACGAAAAATCTCTTGCATGAACCAAGGCTGTCAGTGTAGCCGATCACGTACGAAGGTCAGGTGTGAAAAAACAGGGATCGGGAGATGAGACCAAAGGGCGATAAGCCTACCAACCACATATAGTTGATCTTCGTGATTTCCTAGATTTCTAGACATTCGAAAACGGTTTCTCTCATGTATATTGTGAATACTACGAGTTTCCTGTACTTGGACAACATAGCTCGCTCAGTGAGTGTCGAGTTGCCACCGGGAATCAAGAACAAAGTGCAGGTGGCGAACATATATCAGTGTTTAAAAAAATCACAGTATTCTGCTGTCGTCCGTTTAATGGCTGGCACTTGTTAACTTGCCTGTGACGTTATTTACATCCAATTGATTCGTGCTCGTTCATCATTTGGACCGATCCACGCTTCCAAGGTTAGGTCCAGCCTCTTCTTTGCCATTCCGGGTTGACTGCATGGTGGCGTTTGATTGGCCGTCCGCCTGTTTGGTCGATGGTCCCACCATTGCCTATTTGCCAGCGCTGAATATCATGCTAATATGGACTTGGGTTTAACCCTTTCGCTCGCTGTACGGCCGACCAATAAGCTGTTCCGCTGCAAAATTGTGTGCGGTCTTATCAGTAAGCCAGGCCAAATGCGTACCACATACTCAGTTCTCCTAAGTAGCGTATGAATGGCTATTGGCCAACTACGTTTCCGCGTCTTCGGCAGGCTAACTAACAAACTGGTGCGTGTAGGAAAATTGGGTTTCGGCGCGAACCATCAGCTCGCCATACGGCTGACCAATCCACATTTCAGATATTAAAAAATTCACCCTGTTCCTCATGTGCGCTGGGCCGAAGAGGACGTGCGCGCTCGGTCTTGGTATAATCGCAGCCAGGTCCACTGGTATTGCGACATTTCCTTATGTCCAGATTTCAGCCGCCATCAAAGTGAGTAATAAGGGGATTAAACATTTTGCTTTGAAAATCATCCCAGCTAGCGCCCGTCAGAAACGTCTGGTCCCACTATTCTGCTAGTGTTTGACAAAAGGTCACTCCGTTGGGCGACGTAGAGCGCACTAGATTACCAACTGTCCAACAGTAGATGCTGATCTATCACAAAATGTCTCACCCGGTCACACGGGTGTAGAACGACCGTATGCATGCATGCGGGTACATGAGTGCTTGCCAGTGTCGTCCATCGTGAAAACACTGGATCAGGCGCAGATGGTTGAGTTGGAATCAACCTACGGCACGCCACAAGGCACGTTCACCGATCGATAGATACATACGGTGTGTCGGGCTGGTTGGAACGGAGATGGTGTGCAAAAGCGAAACAGCAATCCCTCATTACCGGGCTACTGCCGTAGAACTGTGGTGGCGCTTGGACAGCCGTAACCGGCCTGAGCAAGGAGTGTACAATAGGTGTTTAGTGTTGTCCCAGCTAATGACAAGAGGGTTATTGGCAATGTTCTTGTCGACCGAAAGTTACTTTCCAACAACCTACCTTAGCAAAACAGATATTCCTTACACTTAGGCCTTAATACTACTCGCTGCCACATAGCCTATTCTCCCGTCGCAGTATTGATCACCGTTGTAAATGTGGTTACGCCGCCCAATTTGTTTCAGGCGGAACCATGAGCGTTCATTCCAACGTATTCACTGATGAAGCAATATCTAATCCGTGCGGATACTGAGAATCACATATTGCCCAAAACGCGAAGCCCGTTGACTCGTAAAAAGGAATGACAAATCGTTGGACCACAGCACACGTATGTGGATTCTCACGCATGCTGTGCACCACAAGCCCGTTATCCCTGTGATAACTTTTCTGACACATTATGTTACAACCTCCGAATATCATATTCAAAAAGATCGATAAGCCACGCTTACACGATCTGTATTCTTATTGAAAAGTTGTTCGACCATCTCTCTTTCCCCTTCGTGTGACCGGTATGTGATTGTTTGGAAACACTCATCCCACACCAGAGTCTGTACGCCGATGAACAGGATACAAACCCGAAACAGTGTAGCATATGCTCACATCGCCAACTCGTTCACATCCTCCCCGTATTCCTTAGGCATAATCATGCAAAACAAATATGACCACTGTGAACCAAGTTGCATAGAAGTGGTCAGTCTAAGCGCTGTCGAATCAGCTTTGCTCGTGGGTTGCATTCTGCCCCGACGCATCTTTGGCACCATTTGCCCGTGCACCAATGTAGTCCAGAACTCAGTGATAACGGTGAATACGTATATTAGCGTAAACAGCACAAAGGGGTAATATGTCCGTCAACGACGAAGATGTTCAACGTGTCCGCTGGCGTTTTGCTTGAACTGCGGAATTCGCCTGAGACAATAGGCTACAACGTTTGGCAAAGTTTCCGTGTTGATGACGCGACATTCGTGAACAATACTGCGTTTTAGTTAACCGTTTTCATATCAATTGCTCGTACGACGGAAAGTTATTGCGTAAAATGATTTCGTCAGTGACTTCAAGGTCGGTGGTGCTTCCTTTCTTTCTTGCGTTGTCACGATACACCACGCTGGATGAAGCCACCCACTACCATCGCGCTTATTGCGCTGCGTTAGCAATGCAGAACGACCACGCTGTTCAACGGCAGTCTCGAATCGTGCCGATAGACCAGCGCGTGATCATTATGCGACTGTTTGGTAGGTGTCAATCGAATGATGTGGAAACGGCTAGCCGCTACAACGCTACCAACTGCACCATGTCGATCAACGCGCAGTACGTGCGTCGACAAGTTGAGAAATTTGACCAAAATGGAAGTGTGTACGACGCAGAGCGAACCGGTAGGCCTCGTACCGCCACGGATGACATGTCCGCTTGCACTGTACTTTATGAGGTAGCTCGAAACGGTGATGTGAACATTAGGAGAATTGCGCAGCATTGTGCCACCACACTATTTTCTGAGCATCGTACAATGAAGGAACGGAAATTCCGAAGGTATCGTGGACTGCAAGTTCAAGTTCTGAAGCCATGCAATTGTGAGAACCGTATGGCATTTTCCTGATAATAGCAGGATATCATGAATGTGCACTCAATCACATCTACGGATGAGGCACTTTTCCGCCTGCATGGCACAGATAAGCGACATGTTTGGGCTACCAATAAGCTAGGAAAATGCATCGCTTCGTGTGTGCAACATGGTGCACAGCTCATGGCATGGGCGGGGTTAACAGTGGGATAAATTATCGGACCGTTTTCTTTTCCAACAATATGACGGATAACTTGAATTTTGTAACAAAACTAATGCTTCAATTTTCTTAGCATTCTCCTGCGAAGAAATGTTGCAATCCAGGGTATTCCACAGCTGCAGTCCGAAGGCATATTGAGTACCGTTTAGTGGCAGCAGGATGGTGGTGCGCCTGCCAGTTCTGCACAAACGATACGTGATTACCTTAAGGAAAATGTCGGTAATCGCTAGATCGGTCGTTGAGGATCTATTGATTGGCCCGCAAGGTCACCTAATTTGATCTCACTGGATTTCCTCCTATGGGGGTACTTGAAACGCCGAGTGTATAAAAGCAGGCCAA